GGCCAGTGAAGCAACATCCTCCACAACTAGACTGAAGAACAAAAGGACAGCAACTTGTCTGTTCCCCTCCCCCAATTCCCCAATAAAATCTTTTTAGAAAAATAAAAATAAAAAAATTAAAAAAATTAAAATGACAACCAAAGAAAAATCAGGAAAATGAGGATGGCTTTGCTATTTTTGTTGTTGTCTTACAGATGTAAGTTTATAGTTAGTAAACAAGGCAAAAATTAGAATTGTTATAATGCACTGTATGTGTAGGGAACTAAACCTTTGAGGTAAAATATGATAGTCCAAGGATATAGGCAAATCAGGTGAAAAGATTCAAGATGCAAAATAAGTCCTATGTTACATTTGTTTTTAAAGAAATCACCTTGAGCAGCTAAGAAGATCCCTTCCAAACTGTTTATTTTCCTTCCCTTCACCAGCTTCTTCACAGTGTATGTACCCACCCACCCTGATGTTAGTGGCACATAAATCAAACCTTCCATAAAAATGAGAAATAAAAAATTTTAAATTAAAAAAACAGGAGGTTCCTGATATTAGCCAATCTCCAATCCACATATACTCCTAGGCCTGATCCACTAACATTAAGAAGCCAATTTGTTCTTGTTCGGTAATGGAGGAGCTGCTACCAGCTTTAATCTACATGTACTAACGTGTTCTCTGTAAGGAGGAAGATGTCTCCAACAAAATTCCTTCAGAATTGTCATATGAGATATTGCTGCAAGGTGTGTAAAATCTTCCTGACTACCAATTTGCAGCCAGACATTGACTGAAGTATCAGAAGATTTGGAAACTCGGGCTCAGTGTATTTGTGACCAACACTAGTATAAGAGCTTAGGAAAAGATGTACCATTGTATGGGTGTGACATCTGGAGCAGGGAAACCATTTTTTAGGGCAAGAAATTTGCATGCCATACAGTACACTCCACACCTCAGGAATATCTAATGCTGTTCAACAATCAAGCAAATAAGGGTTCCCTCCAAACAAACAAGCAAAACCTCCTTGGAAGGGACAAGCTGCAGATCATATAGAATAATATTAGCGTTAAAAATATCAAAAAGGAGGCACAGTAACTCCCTTTCTGCCAAAGTCTGACTCTCTGGGAGGGGCTCCCAGAGCAGTCTTCAAGTCTGTTGACTTGTTTTTTCAAGCTGTTAATGTAACTCGCAGCTACATTGGTTTGTTTTGTTGTTGTGACATGGTCTCCATAGATGTGCATTGAAATTGTGCCCAGCTGCACTGAAGCCAAGAACCATGCAATCTGGAGGTTGTGCAAGCGAGATTACAAGGCTCCAAGGTATCCAGTGCCTGCACTGCTCATCTCTTCCACTTACCTCGAAGCTTGGCTTGTCCAGCCTGGGCAACAGAATGCTGCATCGGGACCAGATCCAAATATTTGAGGAGAGTGGCTACATTTGCAGAGAAGGAGCAGAGATTTATCTTCACATCAGGCCTTTATTTGCAATGCATGTCTAGGAAATGGTAGATGATAACCAGGGCCACTTTAGTGCCTCTTTGTTTTTAGTCTTCCCTCTTCCTTTCTGTAGATAGCCCAATGTGGTCAACTTTATTCCTCTCAGGAGTGCATTACCCTCGTATTTTGTTCATCCCCTGTCCCTCACAAGAAACGAATTCTCAGAAAATAACTTGATCAGCTCATTCACACCAGACTTAGAAAGTAAAAACACAGGATATACACTTACATTTGAATTTCAGATAAACAATGAATAATTTTTAGTGTAACTATGTCCTGTGCAACATTTGGGACATACTAATATAATACTAAAATTACTAAAATTATACTAAAATGTGTCATTGTTTATTTGAAATTCAAATTTAATTGGTTGTCTTATACTTTACGTGGCAGTCTTTAATACTAAAGAGTAAATAACTTGTGATGTTTTTACCTCTTCTCAGGTATTTAACTTAGGATAAAAGGCCCCATAGTTTAAACCAAATTAATAATTAGGAGATTTTAGCAACAAACTAAAAGAAAAATACATCAGGTAAGCAATCACATACTATGTCTAGCCAATTCTTTTTAATTGCAAAAGGCTATAACCCAGATGCAAAAAGCATAGCTTGATTCTCATCCACTTGGATTTACGGCTACTGATCAACGTTGACTTCAAATCAGACAATGTAATTGTTCATGTTAATTGGTGCTCTACTCTTCTAGGTGGAGAAAATATGATTCAAAGATACAAGACTCTGCCCCAGAATATTTATTCCCACAATATCTTGAGTGGCTAGAGATACAGGTGGTGTTAGTTGAGTATCCTAGGCCTTAGTTCATCTACTTTAAACATCTCATCAACACAGACTTTTCACATGTCATGTCTACTGACAAAGCCAAGTATGAAATATATACTCTTCAAGCTCTCAGAAAACCTATAGTTAGGGTCAGAGAAAGGGAAGGAGTGTGAAAATAATGGTTATCAATGAGAAAATAAGGAGCAGAGTGAAGTAAAAGAAAGAAGAAAATTAACTTGATATAAAAAAATGAAAATGGAGAGTCAAGGGAACCCTTGGGCCAAACGCAATTACCTAGAATAGGTGGCTACCCAGTGGTGAGAAGAACCCTGTGGAAGATGCTAAAGATGAGCTCGTTCAACATCTGTTCCAATCGCTTTCTGGAATGCCTTCCTGTGTATTACAAAATCTGGTAAACTAATAATTGCTTTTTCCCACGCTTCCTTGGAAATAGGGTTCTGGGTATAATGTAGGCTCCATCATCAGATTCACTTTCAGGACGTAAATCCAGGCTGAGTGAAACAAGGAAGAAGGCTGGACAGGAGGCATCATTCTGCTGCTGTAGATGGTGTGTAGACTCCCCAGTTCAGCAGATGTGGCTCCCTGACCACAGTTTCTCCATTTGACAGGCAGTGTACAGATCAAGGCAAGCACAGCAGTTCCTTTGGTGGCTCGTTGTGATGTGGCTTCGGGATTCATTTCTGGAAGCTCATCAGCCTAGAGTCTGTGTCTTCAGCCCCAGCCCAGTTCTGCAGACCACTGAATACCCTGTCGTTTACACATTTCAGCTAAAGCCAGCTAGTGTGGGGTCTGTTCTCCACAACTGAACCCTAAATGATACAAGCTGTGGCTCCCAAAATGTATATTTCACTAGCCTAATGGTTCTCGACTGGGGGGAATTATTGATTTAGAAAGTACCTTCTTTCACAAGGCCAAAATCCCTCAAAAAAAATTGCAGGTGAAGTTTTGCTCTTGGTGAATATTGTATTAAAAAATCACATCTCTTTATTTTAATATTTACATGATTTCCAAATTTTAATATTTCTGAAACCATGTCATGACCTAAAATTAAGGTGTGCTTTTAATGTGAGATTTTCCTTGTTCTTTTTTTTTTTTTTAGTAAATCAAAAACCTGCTATTACATCTGTAGCCTATCTTAGAACTGATGACATCTTGAATAAAGGAACTAGAATAGTTTAAGCAGGTATTTTCCTGAGGGCAAACTGGCCAAACTGCACATGGAGGTTCTAGAATCGCTAAAGGCGGGCAGAGAGCACTGTGTCTCAGCTCTAACTGTACAACAGAATCACTGCAGTGCTTTCCATTGGTTTGGGCATGAGGCCCAGGCATCAGTAGTTTTTCAATGCTCTTTGCAGCCAGGGTCAAGAACCACTAATTTAGGGGACCTTGAAGAATTTGGACCTCTGAAGATGGAGAAAATGGGACAAAAGAGGGGCCACTATTAGAAAAGATAAGCAAAAAGTGATGGCAGATACCCAGATAGACTTCAGAGCCTTACTCATCTGCCCAGGACCAGACCTCATTACTATTGCCAGGCAATTTGCTAACACTCCAGGCTTATAGTTCTTGAGTAACTTTCACAAGCTCTCTGGGGCCCAAAGAAAATCACAACTGGAGAATTTAACTAGTAATGGATCCTGACAAAGAGAAGCAGAAGATGCTGTCATCTGTCCCAAACTCAGCACATATTCAGAAGCAAGCTGTATCTTACAAATACATTTCCTTTAACTTGAAAAGCTTTCATTCCCCTATAAAGTCTAGCTCTTGCTTTGAAGGAAGAGGTAACCCAGTAAATATTGGCTAAATTGAAGTCCACTCTCTAAAAGTGTTACTAACTTAAAATGAATGGGAAAGAGATATAAGCTTTTTTTAAAAGGAAGAGCAAAAACTCAAGAGAGAACAGTGAGGGGAGACAAAGAAACTAGCCCATGCCAATTATCTCCTCTCAAAAGCAGTGGGAAGAGATCTACACTGGTCCAAGTAAATGTTGCCTCACACATTTGCTACTACTGCCAATCTAACATCTCTACTATGTCTTTGTTAATTTTTTCTTAAAGTCAAAATTGACACAGTAAATTCGACAGTGTCCCCAACTGCCTCAGGACCCAGAGCATAGACTTCTAAAGCCAGATCCTGGATAAGACCCCAGAGCCATGCTCTGTTACACCCATAAATGTGTTTAGGTGACAGGCCATGATAGTTCAGGGGAGTTAGTCTCAAGCAATAGAATCTGAAGCCTTAATCTATCTGTTTAGAAACAATCACTCTCATCATTCCAGCAGAGTCAGTTTTCCCTTATTTTACATTTATTTATTCAGAGATTTCTAAATATATGCTGGTCTGTTGAAACAGCCTCTGGGCCCAAGTACAATAAAAACATTAATTAAAACACATGATTAGAAACACCCAGCGGCAAGCCTGGAAGAGCTTCAAATGAGCTCTGCCATTTAAATGTGGGTCATAGACGATAAAGCCACCTGTGGGTGACCTGTACTGTGCCCCCAGGCCTTCTCTGTGGATTCCTCACCAGCCAGTGCTGGGGTGGGCGCTCTCTGCCCATAGATGGCCACACCCAATTATCCCATTTCTCTCCTAACTTTTAATTTGGCACAGTCTGTATCTGCCTTTCTTTTCATTCTGCAATAGACTAACAAGAAATTCACAAAACCCCCAATTTGGCAGCTATCTGAGCATGGAAACCTTACATAACTGTTGGGCATTGGCAGGGCAGGACTCGAAGGGGTGGGTGCCCTGTGCTGAAATATGCCCTGCGCTTTGTGGGCAGTGTAACTCTCCCTGAGGTGGTCTACCATTGCTTCCAGCCCTGAACACTTCTGAATGCAGACACTGCAACTGAATTAACACAGAATACACAGTATAAGAGTCAACCGGAGCCTATGGAGAATAGCATGGATTTCAGGTAGTGCAGACACTTCAAATTTGAGGTGGGGAGGAACCCATCTACAAAACAGACCCATCTACAAAAGAAGTAGTAAACCTTCATTCCCTTGTGACATAGAAAATTCCCTAAATTCCAAATTTGTTTACACAGCTAATTAGGCATGAAAATTTTGAATCTAGCACAGGCCTGTTAAGAAGATCTTGTTAAATGCAGACATGTTCTGTCAAGGACACGTATCCAGTGAGGGATGCCATCAATGGGTAATATGACTTTTTTAAAAATAAATTCTATCCTTTGCTTAAAGGCTCACAAATAAAACAAAAGCAAAATATCTTGGCTTACTTCTTTTATGTATGATTTCCCCACAAATCTCCCATCTTAGAAAAACAAGAAAAGAGATTTGAAAGAAAACAATAGCAGATCAATGCTAGGTAGGAATAGTATTTCAAAACTGCTGGGAACGTATTATTTGCTGTTCCACTGAATTGTGTATAATTCATTCCTCTTTTTTTTTTCTTTAATGACAAGTGTGCTCATATCTTATTACAAAGAGGCTAGCTACCACAAAAGAAGATAAAAATGCCTTTTATCATGCATCTGACCAAAATTATACCTCTGGAACCCCTTTTCAATCAGCTGTGGTGTTTTTCACAATTTTATGATTTCGTCAAATTGGCTGTATCTCACATACTGCCTGCTACTACACTCTGAAGTGCCAGGCTGGTACCTAACAGGAAAAATAACATTTTCCTTCACTCTTAACCCACATTCTGACTTCTCATGCTGAATTCAATCCCCAGCTAATTAGTTCAAGAGCAAGCAACTTTAACCAAGATTCGGTATTACTTTCCTGTTTCTGAGAGCTGGGCTTTCCCCAAATGTAGCTCTCTTGTTACCCTTTGCATTTTAAATAAGCCATTCTGGAGCATGGCTCTTGCTTTTTCTTTAATATATGCGCCCCTTGGGGCTGCACGAAAGCTTGTGATGGCTCTCTGCCGGCAGTCAGGGCAACAGAATGTCTACAAGATCAGGCTTTGTCCTACAGTTGGCATCCATTGTGCAGCCCGAGCTGAATAGGGAGACTGCAAGTAAATTTTCTCAGAAAGGCAGGGTCCCTGGTATTCTAACACAGAGGCCTGAATCTCACATAGGTTCCTCATTTTGTTTGTTTTAAACATGCAGTAACATTTCCCTAATTGATAGTTCCTGGAATAAAGTATTCCACAGAAGTCAATTTTTCATAAACTGAAGACTTGTTAATGTAAGTTTGATGGAAACTCTTTCTAAAATGTTAAATAGTTCTCTTGGATCTCAAACATGCTAAATGTATTTGACTTTTTCTTAAGGATTTAGGGTCCTCTTTAAATGATAAGTTATTACATTGAGGTATAAAAACAATAATAGATGCATGGGATAATTACCCCTGAATGAAATAGACCACTATCCTTTCTTGATTACTTTGGCAAATTTTCAGTTTTATTTCTGTCTCTTTCCATACTATCAAATTATCAGCGGTCACTTTGCACTGATGATTTTCATGTCAGCCCCTAGAAGCAAACTTTGTGTTCACTGCTTCCAGCATTCAGATGGCTGGGAACCCAAACAAGTTTGTTGTAACAACATCTACATTAAACATCAATCATATTCTGAAGCTCAGTCTTCTGGTCTAAGCATCAGTACATGAATGTGCGGTATCTATTCTGGTTGCTCAAAGCCCTTTGAGCTCTTCATCCACTCTTCATCTGTATCTCAGAGAAGAGAGATTACCAGATACTTGTCCTGGGATATTGTACAGTCAAGTTCAGCATTCCACAATCAATTTGTCCACTCTTAAGAGTTCTTCTCTTTCTTGTTCTTATCTTCTCTCCACCCCTCTGATTCCTGCTTTGAGCCATTTCAGTAAGCATTAAATCATTCACTGTGAGGAAAGAGATCATAATAGAAAGAGCAAAACATTTTAATCCATGCAAATTGAACTCTGGTATTTATTTGGGGGGAGTCGAGGATTAAGCATGAAGTTTGGCTATCCTCACACAGGCACCTGCCAGTCTTATATGTGGCAATCTCCCCGACTTATAAAATCTCAACCTCTTTGACTAAAATCCCAACTATATTTAAAATGCCTGTTCAAAATGACCCAGGCAAAGTTGACTGAGAATGTCAAAAGAGCCCCCACCAAAAAGAAGATAAAAGCTCGTATTTAATCCCACACCAAATGACGATGGCACTGATTGGTTTGCCAAGAACCATCCTTGTCTTGAAACCAAAACCCCATGTCCAGAGAACCTTCTCAGTCCCAGGCAAATCAGGACATTTAGTCACCCTAGTGGGCAAAGATCCCTCCATGGTTTCTCATGTTTTCCCCCAGGGGGTCACCTTTACCTTCTAAGCAAAGCTCTTTATTTTTACATTTAGCATTTCTAAGAGTCCAAAGATACCTTCTCCTTTTCTCCTTCTGCCCAGTCTAGATAATTCTTTCTCATTGCCACCAACTTAGACTTTATCCCCTATTCTGCGCTACTATAAAACTTCCATGAAGTCTCCCTGTCTGCACTCCAATGTGTGTGCCCTCTCCGATTAATCTTTCGAAAACTCTGTTTTGTACAAAATCCAGCTGAAGTCTCACCTCCTCCGCGAAGTCTGGTATGTTCCCCAGCAGGAGGGGAAACATGATCAGGGCTGGAGAAAGCGGTGGCAGGAGGTGTCAGCTGCTCAGCGCTGGTAGATGTGCAATAGGGCCAGTGCAGGCTGTCACCTTCTAGGATCAAGACAGGCTGCAGAGGCGAGAGACAGGCAAATCACAAAGGTCAGTAACAAGAAAAAGTTGTCTGTGCGCCAACCACCCCGCCAAAGAAGCCTAACTATAGACAGAAAACCCCAGTGTCCCTGCGACACCCAATAGCCACGCTGCACCGGGCTCAGCACACTAGAAGCAAGAGGGTCGTACCAAGCAAATCTCTAGGAGCGCTGACTTTGCCCCATAGCTAGTTGAAGGCTGGCTCTATGAGAAGGGAAAGGGAACTGCAGTAACAGGAACTGCCCGCCCCATTCTTTATGCAGCTAGCAGTTTCTAATTTGGAAAGCCGTTAATAGTTTAATACACGCATCCCTTAAATGCAAAGACTACATCTTATGGCTCTCTGTATTCCCCAAGGCTAGCAAACTATGGAGCCAACAAATATTTGATTTAAATAATAATAAAAGGTGCTCCTGTGTTCTGAAGGCCATGTGAATAGGAAAACATGAGAGGGTCCCAGCAACTGCACTTCTTTTCAGGGAGTCTGGAAGTCATCTGCCTGGTTGAAGTCTAAGATGCACTAATCAGGAAGTACAGAGTAGAGAGAAATCCTCCCTTTTCTCTTTAAAACTTCAGAGCAAGTATCAACTCTCCTACTTCCTTTTTTATCTTAGTTCAAAACCTAAGCACAAGAAGAAGAAAAAATAACAAAACAAACTACCTTTCACCTAGCCTCAAACCCAAAATATCCTCACGTTTTCATGCTATAGCATTTATGAGTACTTGAAGTTTAATCAGAGGGAATGAAAAGTTGATCTATTTCAATTTCTCAACTTAAGAGTCCTTAGCACACACGCTAAATCACTTCCGGAGCAAATGCCATGGTGTGTTCATGCTGAAAATCCCTTTACCATGGTCAAGTCTTAAAAAGACTTTGCTAAGAATATATTTTTCATGCAATAACATCTAGGAAAAAGAATCCAAATTAAAATGAAGGCTTATTATGTTAGCTTTATAAATGCAATCACCTTTCTTTATTCACTGATTTATGAAGTCCCTTGAGTAAACAGGGAAAAAAAGTGATAGTTAGGATTTATAAATAATGTACCATTGGAAATGCTTCAAGTGAGAGCCTTGTTTTAAGTGCCAAAGTAAACACCTGCAACTATAAAAGGGGGCTGCTGTATTTTGTTTTCCATCAAAAAAAAAAAGGCATCAGTTGTAATTTTGGAGAGTCTCTGGGGGGGAAAGGACGGCTTCAGAATGAACTTTTGATGGGAATCTGTATGAGATACCTAATGCTGGAAATATTACTCACTTAGAGAAAATGACTACCCTAAACTTTATAAATCATCTAAACCAGGATTTCTCAATCTTATGGCTAAACACATATCTTATCTCTTCTATAAAGTATTTATGCTTACTTAGTTAACTGTGGAATTTATTAATTGACATATTAGTCAAATAAATTATTTATTTTAATTAAGGAATAAATGATCCAAGGAATTTCAATGAATACAAGAGATATCAGTCATATTTTAAAATTAAACATTAGCTCAGGTTTGTGTACTTTTTTTTCAAGAATTAAAAAAGAACAAATTTTCAAGTGGAAATTTTAAATTTTCAAAGATGCAAATAAGCAAAATTTGGAAAAGAACTGAATTGAAAAAAGAAACAATGGTTGGCTGCTTGAAAATAGCCTTTCCTTATCCTTCTCCAGTCACCTCATCAGCCTCATTGTCTCCTGCCCCAATCTAAACAAGGAACTCTATTTAATGCCTTACTCTTAAAGAAAAAATGTGAACAACCAAGAATCGCCAGAAATTTGAAGAAAAGTTCGAATAAAAAAAAGACCAAGACAAAGTTTGAGGAAAAATAATTTTCAACATCAAACTATGTGAGGGTAAAATAAAGTCATTTCCAAACATGCAAAGTTTCATGCAAACTCCAAGGCACCCTTCTTCTGGAAGCTTCTGGACTATGCTCCATGGAATATGCTCCATTAAAATGATGGTGTAAACTAAGAAAAGGGAAGATTTGGCACTGTTGAGAATTCCTTGAGATGAATTCTCAGGATGGTGTCAAAATGAATCCTAGTAAACAGGTGTGCAATAGGTTTAAAAAGCAGCCAATCCTGATTGAAAAAGAAAGATAAAATGTGATGGAGTAGATTCCTCTAGGAAAAAAATAATATAAAACTGCAGATTACCTTACAGATTATATCATGTAAAAAACTGTACTGAGAGTCACTTTATGAAAAGAATCAGCCATAATTCAAAATATATAAAACTAGGCAAATGAAAATATAAAATAATTACTAACTCCAAGAAAAGTTAGAAATTGTATAAGAAATGCAATTACAGTATAACATACACTACATATAGACACACTATATGCACACATGTTTTAGTATGTTTAACTTTACATAGTATACATATAGTACATGTAACAGTTTATAATATAATCTATATATAGTATAAACTATATACATACATTTGACTAATATATATAGTGTAAATTATATACATATGTATTACAAACTATATACATAGCATATATAGTGTAACTATATGATTATACACACATAGTATAATATATATGTATATATATATTATATATATACACAAATTATATACATATAACTACATAACTGTTGTAATAAATTACTGAATATGGATTCAACCAAAAATTGTGATTCTACTATTTTGGAAAGAATGGAATGGGGAAAGGCATTGTAAGAAAGCCAAAATAATGTCTAAACATGTTGAATCAAACAATAGCATATACATAGTATTTTGATATGAGAAGTAAATACTGGATTAAACAGCTGAAGATTTTAAAAATGGTTACCTGAGGGAGGCAGGGCAGCCAGAAGGAGAAGAGGTGATGTAGGGTGGAGGACTTAAGAAAATATTGGCTTTTGCCTAATCCTCTTAGTACTAATTGACTTTAAAACTATGTGCTTCTCTCTACAGCCTCTCCATCACGTGTTAGCATTGTTATGCCAAGCGAAATAAGACAGCAAAAGTCAAGAATCATATGACTTCACTCATATGTGGGATATAAAACTGAAAGCATTAAAGGAACAAGACAAACAAACAAAGAAACAAAAACTCACAGACACAGGCAACAGTTTAGTGGTTACCAGAGGGCAAGGGGAGTGTTGGTAGAAGAGGGTAAGGTGGGTCAAATACATGGTGATGGAAGGAGAACTGACTCTGGGTGGTGAGCACACAATGCGATATATAGATGATGTACTATAGAAATGTACACTTGAAACCTATGTAATTTTACTAACCATTGTCACCCCAATGAATTTAATAATTTTAAAAAAATGCATGCTCATATTATTTTGATAAAAAAGGAAAATATTAATTTTTTTATAAAAGGAAAGGAGGGAGAAAAGAATGAAGTTAATACCCTTAAAATAGATTTATGTACATGCTACAGCATGTAGCATATTATAAAAATATAAATAGAAAAATATTATAAAATATTATAAATATTATAAAAAATATTTATTGAACAATAGTTCTAAGTATTGCAACTCTAGAAGAAAGCAACTGCTCCCAGCTTTTCAGTTTGTAAAAAACTCACCCTTAGAGTTAAGGTATTCAAGTTCAAGTTCAATCTAAGTGGTCATGAAGTCCAAAAACATTGGTTGATGGTTGGTAGGAAGGAACCCTGGCCTATGAGACTTTGGTTACAATTACTTCCGCACACCCTATCCCATGTGCTTCATGAGTGCTTAGATCACATGTTTCCAAAGGGACTATGGACTTAGGACACACCTCCTACTGCTTTGGCAGTTCTCACATTGCAGTATACATAGTAAATAATCCAAAAATGTAATTACAGGGACAGGTGAGTTTAGAAAAAGCTATTTAATTGATGATGCTAGGAAAATAGAAATTAGTATCTTATTCATAGGGATACAAGAAGAAATGCTATCATTCATAAAATAGCATCCTTGTAAGCATTCCCAAGGATAATTAGGCATGCTCACTCACTACCAAGTAATCCAGGAGCAAAACCAATACTTTGTTGCATAACTCTTATTTTACCCTTCTTAATCTTTGAGTAATTAACATTGAAAAAAGTTGTTTTCTGGGCCACTCCAGAAACAAATAGTTTCCCAGCAGAATGAGACAAGCAAATAAGCCTAAGCATGTGATGGATTTGGAAAGCAATGAATCTTAACAAATTTGCAGTTGAATTATTGAACTGCTAAGACTGCAGAGTTAAACTGAAAAGACTTGGATGGATAAATGAGGTTTTGTTACCTTTGCTTCTTTGCTAATTTTGTTTGTTGCAGCTGCTTGTTGCCATGAGCACCAAAAGTTATGACATTGCAATTCACACTGAATATCTTTGCTTGGAAAATAAGGTTTCACTTACATAGTTGAGGTTCATCAACCACATGAACTGAGAGTGGGAGGTTTACACACACACCATAGATTTATTTGCTAAACTACTGACCTTGTTTAATTTTAGATGAACCACAAAATGGTGTTTCTTCAGTTTACAGACTCTTTTCACTGATTTCATTCAACAAATACTTGTTGAGTATCTACTATGTACTGTGTGCTGCTATGTACTATGTGCCCTAGGCTCTGTACTAAAAACACACCAGTACAAAACAGAATTTACAATCTAGTGGTTAGTTATACAATTAAGCAATTAAATAAGCAATTATAATAGAATAGTTTAAATGCCTGGAACACTTATAATAGAAACATTCAACATATCCTAGGATTCAGGGGTGGAGAAGGCTTAGTCAGGAAAGATTCCTAAAGGAAGTAATATTGAATGAAACTGGAGGGATGACTGGAAGTTTTCCATGCAAAGCAGGATGAAGATGAGGCAAAAAATCTGAGGAAAGTCAGGAGGCAAAGACAGCAATGAGGACGCCACTACCATAATGGAGGGAGTAATGGTGGTGGCCTGGACTTGGTTGATGGCAGTGTGAAAAGAGGTGGATCTGACAGCTACTGAGGATACGGGATTGGTAGAATTTCATGACTTATTAGATGTGAG